GTGGAAGAAATGCATCACACTGATTTCTTCAATTTCAAATTGTTGTTGAATGGAAATTGGATGAAAAGCAACAGTGGAGATAAAGTACAATGGAACAACATAAAAGAAGTTTTTGCGAAAACTAAAGATCCGAATAAATTATATTATAAGTATGATATGGCTAGCAATGATTACTATGTTCTTTCGGTAACAAAAAGTACGAGGCGACAATGTTCAACAAATTCTTCTACATCAGTTGAACCCTTGTACCAAAGTACCCTTTATATTGCTAAGGCCAAAAAAGATGATTTGATGAATATGTGTAATTCTCAAATTATTCCTAGCAGCTATCGCGGATTTTTTGCAGATCTCCCATCCGTGAATGTAAGCGATAATGATCACAATTCTGAATTTGATAAATGATTCTATTAAATTTATTTTTAACTATTTTAATTTTAAAGGGCTATTACTTAATAAGTATTATTTTTAGTGCCATTCAAAGTAAGTCTGTTAATTTTATGTTATCCATAAATATTAATAAGTGTTGATAATTTGTTACTAATAACTTTCAAAACTTATGAATAGTTACTGACTGCACAATTTCTCTTAAATGTTTAAAGTTATTAGAAAGTTATTATATTTTATATTGTATTTTTATTTTTGTGTTACTAGAAGTTTGTGTGTTTTATTAAAATTTAAGTTATGTTGATGTAAGGCAAATAACGGTTATTCTATCAATAAAGTATGGTAGTGTGATTATATCAAACATAATTTCATGCTTTTTTATTGCCTACTTTCCTAAAATACCCCAGAATATTTTTATTAAAATGAGGTTAATAAACTTACGACATTATTATTTAAAATTTTAACGAAGCAGAATATATCATCTACTATCATACTACAAAAATTATTTACCATTTTTTACAAAGAAGAATGTAGTATTTATAACATACGATAAATAGTTTCATGTAGTGCCCAACGTACTTCATAGTAAGTGTGACATACTATAATTTACTTTTTATATTCTATTTTTATGTACTATTTTACTTTTTATGTTCGTCAACGTAAAATATCGTGACTTTTCTCGACAACAAGAAATAATGGCAATAAAAATACTACATAGGATTATTACCCACCTATTTCGTAATTGATATGCAAATTTTCAAATATATTGATTGTCTCCTCACTGAAAAATCATCAATCATCAAAATAAACAATTAGCGAACCTTTAAACAGCTATTCTGTAAAGTTGGCCAAATACACTTACGATACTCTACGTAGGAGGTGTCGATATATTAAATAAAATTGTGCTTAAAGGTGAACCGTAGAGTAAACCTTTAGTTGCTACAGACGGGCACAAAAAGTCACCGTTATTGGATCTAGTATATAAAAGCCTGTTTTGCAAAATTTTAAAAATAATATTAATTATAGGACAAGTGACATTTAAATTTTGTAACTTATTGTATATATATTCATATTATCATATGCTGAGTTAATATCAATGAAGACGGCAAGAACTGAATGGGAAGATTCAAAGCCTTCTGAAATGAAGGTATGAAGGAGGGCTAAATTGTTGGCAGTTCCTCTACCTCTGCTGAAACCCACCTGAGTATTTTTGAAAACGAGGCGATGTTCTAAAAATAAATCTAATCTAGTTTTTATACAATGATTTCTAAAGTTTTTAGTATGCAAGAGGATAAAACAATTGGTTTAAAACTATTCGGAAAAAGTGGGTCCTTTAAGGGTTTTAGGATGTTAAGAATATTAAATTTTTTCCAATCGCTAGGTAAGACATTCCTTTAAGACATTCATTGCATATATTTAGGAGGATTTTTTTGGCTTTTAGAGAGAGATGTTTTATCATTGAGTAAGAAATATCATCAATTCTCGGGGCAGAATTTCTGTTATTGAACAATGCAGCGTCAATTTCTGAAATTGAGATAAGTTTAAATTCTTGGTTAGCGTGAACTAAGCGGAATTCAGGATCAATAGAAACTGATGACATATTGTATAATATTTCTCTTTTACTGTTATCTGAAGGATTATAAAATTTTTTGCAATTATTATGGTTTGAACATTTTTTTACTTTATTCCATACGTATGTAATATTGGATCCTTTATTTAATATTTCACAAAATTGTTTAAATTTACTTTTCTTTTTTAATCTAAAGTTACGCTTAGTTTGTGCAATTACATGTTTAACGTACAAAAAATTTTCTAGTGATGGTGATGAGTCTGTCTCCGGAGGCGTGTCAGGGAGAAGCTGACCGCCGTGCCGGACGCATTTAGAAATTCGGAGAAATACTTGGAAATTCCAAGTGTGGGCAAATCCGAATTTCTAATTGACTCGATGTAGGGAAATTCCACTTTTACTAAGTAAAACAAAGGATTTGTTTTATATAAAAGCAGACGGAATTTCTCTCATCAGTCAGTCGAGCTTGCCTTTTCTACTGTAGACCTAGTCGGTGCTATTATTGTTCCAACTAAGTTATTGTTTTATTTCTGATTTCCTATATACCATTTTTATTTTAGCATTATTGTATATTCAGACCTTTTCAGGTTAGAATATTACACATTATTCATGTACTTATTGTTTGATATTTTATTTGATTATTTTGATTGATTATTTTCTTGTATTTGTATCTAAGCTGTTCTTTCTGGTAAGTCAAAGAACTCTTAGAAATATTGCTTTGCTATTTTATTCGACTTGTTAATTTGTGTGTGTCTAAGTCGTTCTTTTCCGGTGAGTCAAAAGAACACTTAGAAGTATTTTCATATTTGCATTATTATTTCTGATACTTTTATCTAAGATATTATTTCATATTATTGACTATTTTATTTTCTATTTTTCGTTAAGTTGTTTCTTCCTTAAGTCAAGAAACACTTAGCAATATTTTCACATCTTTTCTGTATTTGATTTTCTTGTTTCTATTATAAGTTGTTCTTCCGTAAGTTAAGAAACACTTGTAAATATTTGTACATCTATTTTACCATATTCTCTTGTTTATTTTCTGCTCTAAGTTGTTTCTTCCGTAAGTCAAGAAACACTTAGACATATTTCTATAATCTATTTCCCTTTTGCATTTCTTGTTTTTATACTTCGAATGTTTTATTTTCTAAGCCGTTTCTTTCGTAAGTCAAGAAACACTTAGAAATATTTCCATATTTTATTTTCACATTTGCATATTTTCACTTTCTTTTATATTTCTGTCCTAAGTCAAGAAACACCTAGGAGCATTTACCTTGTATTATATTTTTATACCGTTTGATTTATTTTGATTTACTAAGCTATTCCTTCCGTAAGTCAAGGAATACTTAGATTATTGTACCTGTTCTGTTTTCTATCTTTGATCCGTTATTTCGTAACCGTTCCTTGGAACTGTTACCTATAACCGATACTTGTCACGGTAACTGTTACTTTATACCAGTAGCGATTATCAACCCTTTCGATAGCGACAAACAAAGATGGTCAACACCCGATCAAATTCCGGGGACAGGAAGAAGTCCGAAGAGCCGGCGATGGGTCCCACAGGCCCAAATGCCCCCTCTCGGCAACAAGTCAAATATGTGAAAAGCTTTCTTACGTTTCTTAATCCATAATGTACATTTTTCACCCCACCAAGGATGAATGGTTTACCTTGTATCCTACAATTTTTATAAGGAATCGAAACATCTGCTGCTTTATTGATAACTGACATGAATTGTTTGTAATTTATTTTATTTATTGAAAAACTTACTAGGATGTTTAATATTTCATCATAAAAAAGATCCCAATCAGCTCTTGAAGAATTTCTCACTTTACAGTTTGTTTACAAAATTTGTATTTTATAGTTCAATGTCGTTGATTTTTATGTATGTGGGAAAATGGTAACCATATTTAAATTATCTGGTGAAATGTTAATAAAGTGTAAACATGATTTTAGGAAATCTTGTGAAGGTATTGTATCAAAATTATAATTACTATGCGATGCACTGGCATTCCAAGCTGAATTTGGTTTTACATTATATGAATTAGAATATTTTGATTCCGATTGGGAGGGTATTGGAGATTTAGATTGAGTTAAGGCAGTTAAAGAGTTAAATATTTGAAATTTTGTGTTCTTCTTTCTGATGGTGAAACGGTATTGTGTTGAATAGTTTTATTATTAAGGGGTTTTACTTTAGTACTATTACTCGGAAGGGACAGAAAATCTTTTGAGTTGAAAATGAATTTGTCTTTTTCTATGTAATTTTTTGGAATGTATTCACTAACTTTACAAAATGTTAAATTTTCATAAGACATTAGTTCTTTAATATTTTTTTGAAGTAAATATTCCTGACACGTACGCGCTGTTGAAACATGTGGACTTTTGCAAAAGAAATATTTCATAGTGCAATCATCGGTATGTTTAAGTTCACCACAATTCATACATTTTTCTTTTGCTTTACAATTCATTTTGGTGTGCCCAAATTTTAAACAGTTGTAACACTGTGTTACTGGGGGAATGTACACATTAACCAATTTTGACTACTCTCCTGTTTAGTCATTTAGCATTCAGAATTTTAATATCGCTGTCAGTGGAACAAAATTCAATAAGTTCATTTTCATTTATTTCAACATTTATTTGATGTACAATATCTTTACAAGATATATAATTAAAAGGTATATACATTTTGTAACCTTGATCTAATAAATTTTTGTTATTTAGGAATATATTTGCAGATAGATAATTATTAAACTCTACAGAAATTCTGTTTGAACCTTTACTTCTAATTTTATTAATATTATTTCATTTTAAATTAAAAATATCTCTCGCAATTTTTATATTATTGAAAGAAAAAACTCTAATATTATTTATATTTGTTGACTCAATAAACACAAAAAACGGGCCAACATCTTTTTAAGAATACATATTGAGAGTTGAATTTATTGTTTTATTTACATTGTGATCAGGAAGTAATCCCCCTCCACCTTATTCATAAAGAATAGTCAGAAATGTCAAATATTTGATCACAAAAAAATGAATAAAAAATTATTTTTATCAAACTAAAATTCAAAATAATATTACAACAAAGTGCAATGCTCAAAATACCTGTTCAATTTACAAGCATAGGTTTGATTCTGTTTTATTTGGCACAAACACTTTCTTCTTCGTTGAGAGTAAGCATCTTGTTACTGCACGAAGGGCGACAGGAGAATGTACACATAATGTTAACAAAAACAATAAAACTAACATAACAGTGACCAGTGACAGTGACTTCTGTCAAACAATGACAGCATATATATATATATATATATATATATATATATATATATATATATATATATATGAGGCGTTCAGCGCCAAGGTAGCTTAAGTACCAAACTACAAAATGTTGGAAAATGGCGATCAAAGATAAGTCTACATTAGGTTCATGTTAGAATTTTAATGATACCTATGAAAATTATTCTGTTAAATGTCATATTGATAAAAAATTATTAACTTTTATGGTTAACTGGATCAAAACACTTTATATATATTTATTTATTGAAATAAATGGCACTTAGCCTCCTTTGGCCCATCTTGATATTCATGAATGTGGCACTTAAAGCATAAACTGCTGGTGGATAGGTCACTTTGGCATTACAATCAATATTTCCACTATTTTAAAAATTAAAATATTTTAAGCAAGAAGTGTCTGTTTACTTATATATAATGAGTTGAAAAAAATTATCAAAATGAAATAACGCAGATTAGACACAACAATAAATAACTTTCAAGCGAAAACAGTTGACTTGGTGCATAGGTCAGTTTGGCACACTTTAAATTGTTCAATATTGATATTTAACGTACTTAAGTTAGTATGATTGTTAATAACACCATGTAAAAACAACAACAAAAATAAAAAAAAATAAAAATATTGCTAAAGTATTTAAAAAATATATTTTATACAAAAAAAGTACAAAATTATAATTGTTCCGACTGTCAGTCTATACTTTCTTCATCAGAGCTTGACCAAATATACTCATCCGCTTCATTATTACCAGTCAAATTACGATAAAATTCTTGTGATATAGGTGGAATGTAAGGCATCAGATCACTGATATCCTTAAGTTTTTTCTCGTCAATTTTCCTTCCACGAGGATATAATAAAGGTAAAGTATCTGGCCTAGTCGGAGCTTTTCTTTTCTTTAAATTTACTTCCTGAAAGTTAATATTATCGTTCAACTGATTTTTATATAACATTAACAGATCACTTCCTTCGCTAACTTGGAGATGCATTATTTTTCTCCAGTTTACCGCTTCCTTCTCGATATTCGTTTTTCTATTTGTAATTCTTCCCGCGAGCTCAGCTTGAGAAATGAAATCGTTAGAACTCATTTCCACAACAACAAATGGGTTCTTTTTTCTTGCCGAAGTGACCACCTTGGACCAATCTTGTGGCAAAAATATATTTTTGTAGTTTTTTTTGGATTTCTCAATAACTCCGAAATCCTGATCACAGGGCAAGTATGAGTGACCAGGTACTAAAAATTTGTGTTCTATTTTCTTTGGTTTAAAGTTTTTATTATTTACTACGTAGTCCATCAAAGTGACCATTTTTATGTTTTTATTTTGACCTGCACATTGGTCACTATACATAATTACATTATCTTTTTCACCCATATTATGTTTGAAAAAATGTAATAGACATGAAGCTATTTCTTCAGGTCCTCTAGAAGCTAAACCTTCATGCCATAAATACATAAAGACCTCTTCGGTAGTTAAATTATGTATTCCAAGTAAATAAGTCCACAGTTGCCTCTTATAGTATACAATGTTAACATCTAAGTCTGGTGTAGGGAGTGTTTTCATTAAATCGAAACAAATTACAACAGTATTAAAGTCATCTGATTTGCTGTAATACTGATCTGTGTTTAGAGCTAGTCGTGCTCTTTCTGCCAAAACATGATGGTCATTTAAATCATTTTTTAGTTTATTTTTTTCAGCCTCATTTGCACAGTATTCAATTTTATTTTTTAGGGTGTTACATGTTTTACAAGTATCTTTTTGTGGAGGATGGAAATAAAGATTAAAATTTTCATTAAATACTTTCCTAAATATGTATGACTCTTCAGGTTTTATTTCTGGTTCTTGCACTTTACAATGCTCTAAATAGAGATTATACATTATTGTTTTATTTAATGTTGGTGATAAATAAAGTCTGTTCGGATTTTTCTTTCTGGAATAATGAGATTGGTAGGCTGGAAACTTTTGAATAAAATTTTGAATTACTTTTAAAGATTCGGGCTTGGTTTTGTTATGGGGTATATGCTTTCCTCTATTATCTTCTGGTGATATTTTTGCTATTGCATAGGCTATTCGTTGGTCACTTAAACGCAGTGTGTGTTTAAAAACATTTTTGCATACTTCTTTTTCCTTATTTTCAGAGCTTTTTAAGAAATATTTGCGGGTATATGCCCTTCTACTTATTTCTTTTTCTGTGCGTTTTCTTCCTACTGCGCAAACTTTTACTGCTGACTGTATGTACATGGTTTGTAACTCCCAGTTTTTTAAATTATAAAAATTGCTGTGGATATGTTTCCTTGTTTCATCTGAAAAATTGTTTTCACAATTGAATTTACATTTACACAAAAAAAATCTATACGATCTCGCAGTAATAGTTTTTCCTTTTACGGATGTGTACTCTTCCCCTCTATTTCTTAAACGCTTACGTATATTTTTTTTCCATTCATTTTCATTCCTTTTTCGTTTTTTTGATATTTGTTTGTCCATGTCTAAAACTTGTTCGTTAGAAACACTTAAAACATTAAGCTTCTCATTGAATACTGCTGGTATACCCTGTTGACTATTAGTTTGATCTTGTAAAACTGCTCTAATATTTTCGTTAGTGATATTTTCCTCCAAGGTTGAAGCAGGCTTGTGTTTCGTAGCTATTGTACTATTCTCTTTAGGTATAAAGCTTATATCTTTATTTGCATCATTATTTTCATCAATGAGCCTTCGATCTAAATCTTGCTTATCTATATTAAGTTCAATGCATATATCAGAAATATTACTTGGTAACTCTACAGGAGAAAATAATACATCACTGAAACTATTATCTTGAATATTTAAGTCAATACCATTATACTGAAAATATTCATTGTTTAAAATACCGATATTGGAACTAAGTTGAAAACTGCCATCTAAACTTTTATTTGACTGGTCTATTAATAAAATATCGTGAGATACTGCTTCTTCAATTACACTACTTCCAGATAAACTATTTAATTCCGTATATCGACAAATATCGTTACCATCGTTACAAACATCTGTTTTTGTAGTTTCAAACTCATCAATTTTGTTTAAATTTTTTATATTTTCTTTTTGGTTATCAACTTTAGGGCTTCCATGATCAGAACCACCTAAAAATAAATCTTGTTAATCTTGTTTCTACAAATTAAACTGATCATTGCCACAGTAGCTTAACTACCAAAGTGTGTGTTATGCACCACTACAAAATAGTTTTTAAAATGCGAAAGTAGCTTAAGTGCCAATTTGGCGGTTTATTCTATTTTTATCCAAAAATTCACAACGGATATTTTGTTAGGGCATTATGAATGATTATTAATACAAATTGCTATAAGCTTGTATATTTTTTGGACGTTTTCGATTTAAAGAACTGTATCTATCCTTAAAAATAAGTGGTATATTTGACTGTAATAGCTCGTTTTAAATATTAATAATAAATTGGATGTAATTATAAAACATTAACTTCAAAGGTATTTTAATAAAGTTTGAATAATAAAGATTTCTTTTTATCTGTTAAACTTTAAGAAAATAAATCTTTGATAAAAATATCTTTATGAAAAAAAATCCATACACATAACCTACAAGATCTTCAATGTCTAAAATAACATTAGAATGCTTAATAAATAAACTTACAAGAAGTGATCACTGAACTACACATTGAAGAACATATATTTAAGATTTTATCAGTCCTACTCTTAAAACTTGACATTTTACTAATAAAACACAACAAACGAATTAATAAATCACTACAAACAGTGGTACTGTTGTAAAGCGATAGTCACATAGAGTTTGGCGCTTAAGTCACTCTGGCATCAAATGATCACGTTTTGGCAATGTTGCCAGAATAAACTTTCAATTAAACTTATAATATTCCCGCTTTAAATTGTCGTTTATACCACTTTGGCATCATAATTTAGCTCTCACAGAAGCCGATAGAACAGAAAAGACAATTTAATATTTTTTGTCGCTTAAGTCACTTTGGCGCCGAACGCCTCATATATATATATATATATATATATATATATATATATATATATATATATATATATATATATATATATATATATATATTAAAGACTACAACCGTCAATTTATATTAATAAAGTATTCAACTTGTGAATTCAGAGGTTTAATCGGATAAAAAAGAAGTCAACTACTTCATAAGTTTATAGAAGACGTTTCGCTTTATATTTCTAAAGCTTCATCAGTTCTCTAAAATACAAAGATGACGTAGAGTTTATAAGAAATACAGATCTAATAATTTATAACTTACAACTCAATATGTAGTATATTAAAGATATTGTTATATCTGTACGTTTACTCATTATTTAGAACTAACTTAAAAAAACCACAAACAAAGAACACAAAAACTTTCCAAAAAATAATATTCATTCGTAGATACGAAGATTTAAAAAATTTTTAAAACGAACTTTTGGCTTCATTTAGATATGGTTCTCCAATGAAGACAAACAAAACACTGATTTATTGCCATCCATTGCAATCTATGCAAACTACGTGACGCGATACCGAAAATTTTTAAGGGCCATATGTTCAACAAATTACAAGGTTTGAAACAAGTATGAACTTCTACTGGGTCACTGAAAGATTAGTTGGACGGGTGGATTTGTATGACGGAAAAATTTGATATATATTTTTTTGTAATTTATGTTTTAATGAAACTTAGAGATATGGGATGATTGTGTTATTATTTGATGGAAAATAAGGCTATTTTAAATGATGAATAATTGGTATTATTTATTTCGTAAGATGAGAGAGTGGTAAACCTGGCTCAAATTGTCGATGTCGGTTCTTTTGTTTATTGCAGATGGGTTTTTGAGGATCTCACACATTTCAATAAAGGATCGTTTATGATGGTTATTTTGTTTCGCCAGTATTTTAGTATGTGAGAAGTCAATGTGATGTTTGGTGGAAATGGCGTGTTGTGCAAGGGCATAAGAGAGTTTGGAAATTCTAATGTCGCTTTAATGTGAAGTTCTACGCCCTAGAAGTGACCGACTGGTCTGGCCAATGTAGCAGGAGTTGCATTCAGAACAGGAAATCTGATAGACAACATTAGTGTGCTCTAACGAGCTTAGTGGAGTTTTAGACTTGGAAAATAACTTTCCAATGGTTTTAGTGTTTTTTAGGGATATTTTGACGGGTAAATTTTGAATAGTTTAATAAACTTGTACGTAATTTGTGGGAAATAGAGAAGCATTCCATTTTATTGAATTCAACATTATTGGTACATTACACTACGTAAATGAAAATCTATTACTAGATATTAGTATTGTTAAGAAATTATTTACCTGGTGTACGATATTAGGAGTTACGACCTTTTACCTCTATGTCTTTAAACAGGTAATATGCAAAATAAAAATCGTAAGTGATGACAAAAATATTATACTCGGTGTTTAAAAATGCAAAACCTAATTCAAAAAGTTTGAAACAAAAAAAAAACTCCTTAGTTAAAAAACAAAAAAAAGTAGAAAAAATATAAGACCTAAATATTTTAACTGTAGTTGTCACTGTCACCTGCTTGCTGCTTTGAAATTGACAACTGTTGGTAGAAATTATGAAATTGCACCGGGATCCACTGGCAAAGCTTTAATAAATGTTCGTATTTTTTTTTTGGTGATACCTTTACAATTCGTACGCATAGCAGGCAATTGACCAGAGAATGGTATTAAAACTCCTGCTTTTCATTACTCCGTTTTTTACCAACACATGGTGAATGATGTTTGGCATACAATATTTCGAAATTTTTGAAATCCGATACCTCCATTTAAATTAGAGCTGCACCTGTAGAGCGGATTAACTGCTGCCAGTTCCAAGGCGTAACAATTTTCATAGTTGCTTGTTTTTTAACGTCCTTTCAATTAAACCATGAACATGGTCTCCATGTGGGTATGCCCTCTCAACAAAAACTTGTGGTCTGGACATATTTTTAGTTGCCATATTTCACAAATTTCACAAATTAATGTTAGCCATACTGACCGAAACATGAAAAGTTTGAATCTTTCCAGCGGTAAATTTAAATATTGGTTGTACTTATACTTACGAGAGTATATCGCGAAATTAAAAATAAACTACGATGTTTATTGTCTGGGTTAACGACATTTCAGACAAGAGTCTTAAGAGATAGAGAAAATTAATCTACTTTTATATAACTCTTTATATATAAAATAACTTCTAGAGCATTGGTAAGTCTTTTCCATTACATATTTTTTTATATTAGTAAAATTTTAATCGGCTCCTAATATGTCACCGCATGGCGGCAAGAGAAAGCCACCTGATCTCCAAGCGATCAATTATAGTAATGAAAACGATAATATGGATATTTCGAATAATGAAAATAATACGATAATAAATGATAAAGTCTGATAATGAGAAAAAAAAATAAATTTAATCAAAGCGACAACAGATACAAGAATAATGCTGTAGGGCTTAGTTGTAGTAGAAGGAATCGAGAAAAAATCCAAAATAGGCAAATATAATCACTTGCAAATAGCAAATGACCCCTTTAATTTAAATTTAAAAGATATCTTGGAGGTTAAAGTCAAAGGTATAAAAAAATTAGTGTTTCTTTCGCAAACGGCGAAGCGGCTAACAATTTCATTAATAACCCTGTCAATCTTAAAGATAAATATACAATATATATTCCATATAATCAAATAACATGTAAGGGTATCATCAGAGATGTTAACCCGTCACTAACCGAAGATCAAATCAAAAAATCATTAATCTTACCCTTCGATTTTATAGACATCAAAAGACTAAACAGGAAAATTATTAGCGATAATAACTCGGTTGAATATGCTGCTACAGGCACAATACTTATAACTAGACTTCGGCAAATATGCAAATAAAAATGTTGTAAATATGCGCATAAATATGCACGTGTTTACCCCAAAATAACTGCTACTTATTTGAACTTGGTAAATCCGACAGAATATACTGGTCACTGCTTTCGTCGGTCTTCTGCAACAATATTGGTTGACTCTGGTGCCGACATAACTAGTTTAAAGCGGCATGGCGGATGGAAGTCATCAAACGTTGCTGAAGGATATATCGAAGAATCGCTTAACAATAAGGTTGAGGTGGCAAATAAAATTTTTACAGTACAAAATATTCAACAAAATGACACTTCCACCCTGCATGTTGTCCAAAATGTTTCTCATAGTTCTAAGAGTGTTCCTCCAATGTTCAATAATTGTACTAACTGTCAAATTACTGTAAATATAACAAATTGATCTTAAAAATGTATTCAGCAATGACTTGATGTTTTCAAAATATAAATTAATTCCTTATAAGCAATGTGTTTTCTATCATTTATGTAGAACACTAACAACTGTACGGAAATATCATTTCCTTACAGTAAGGAAATGACATTTCCTTACAGTAAGGAAGTCCTGACTTTTTCTTCAAGAAATTTTGACAGGAATGTCAAAATTTCCTGGCGATTTGCGGAAAAATATTTTATTAAGCCTAACAGGACAAAAAGTAGAATTCAGAAACAGGGTTTTATGACATAAAATTATACTGTAATTTACATAATCTAAATAAATAAACAAATGTTACTGTTTTAATTGTTGCAGAAGTGAATGGATTAATTCCCTCTGGGCTGAGATTATCTCTCGCAGATTATTGCGGTCAGAAATTTAAAATTCAAATCTGGCTTTTTCAATTTGTAGCTGTTGTTCTGTTTTTTTTTTTTCTAATGCTCTTTGTCGCTGTTTAAGTTTAACCTTCCTTTTTTCTAACTGCAATTTATTTTCCTCTAATTGCAGCTTCCGTACTCTAATGTTGTGTTCTCTCTCACTTCTTTCTTGAATGAAAGTTAAGCCACTTCTACGAAGACCTGCACTTTATTTTTTCCTTTGAGGATTGGCCCTGAATAAAATAAATAAATTTCTTAAGCTAATAAGCTAAACAATTATATTACATTTTGTATTAATTATAATACAGTTATGTCGTAGATTTTATTGGAACAATTAGAAAACATTCTAAGAGGAAGTGTTAAGCTCTCAGAATAATGTTTATTATAAGTTAGAATTAACCTGCTATTTGTTTCCTGCTGCTGGGGCCTTCTTCAGCAGTTCCATCAATGAATGTTCTGATGGGACCCTCATTTACAGTTTTCTCATATGGTGTTTGCCCATATACCACTTCAGGAGTTCTTGAGAAGTTGATGCAACTAAAATAACAGTAATACATATAAAATAAAACTCTCTGTACAAAGGAGTATTTTGAAAAAAAAAAATGTTATGGTTAATAGTAACCAATCACATTTACAATGATTTTATCAATTCCATATTTTTAAATAAAAATAAGTATAGAGGTATCAACATTACCACAACTGTAGTCATGATCACTGATGACATTTTCTTCATGGGCAATAGACATGTCTAACTCATCTTTGGCATAATATTTTGCTGCAAGGTCACTTAGAGCAACACCGATTTCTGAGGATTGTTGCTCCTGTTTTGTTTTATTTCTTTTTAATTTAGTTGGAGTAATTTTTGTGCTTCTAGTAATGTCCCAAATCTCTTGAAGTAGATTATCTCTTTCCGAGAAAATCTCTTCAACTTCTGATCTCAAAATATTTAGGTAAAAATGAAGACAAATTAGATTTGTTTTTTATGTGAAAATATTTACCTGGCTCTATTTACAGCATCCTTCTTTTTCCAAATTTCCATTAAATGTTTTAAATGGTCCCTTAGCGTTCTGATTGAGAATTATTTTTTATTACTATAGTCGTTTTTTCTCTCAGTGCCTCCCATTGTTCTGGTTGTTGCAAAACATTCTGAGTCACGACTTGCCTCAATAAAGCCAGATCATCGTCGGCGTTGAACCTGATTCTTTTGTTCACCTTCTATAAAAACGTAAATATTTTATTATTTAACATCTAAATAGGTAACGAATTACCTAACCCATTTAAAATAGTGCACAAACTAATAGTATGTTTTACTTACCAGATATTTAAAAGAGAAACGTTAGAAAATAATATAAAATATCTTAATAACTTATATATAATAATTAATAACTTATAAATAACTAATATTCTAAGCACAAAAAGTATAAAACTTAATATAAAACAAAATAAGAACACACGTGTTTGTCAAACCAAACCAAACAACATAGATAAGGTTAGCTTGCCAAACAAGATCATCCACAGTCACAGTTTTTAGTTTCTAAATTTGTATTCTATGAAATATTTTTGTTTTATCCCAAATGTCAAATTATCGTTTAACGTAATTACCACCCCTTATTTCGACCCAAATAGCGGAAGCCCTTATCAGGAATTAACGTAACATTCACTATGCGCTTGCATACATGTCAAAATTGCGCATTCCGCTATTAGCGTACGATAAAAATGCATTTGTGATATCTCTCTAGTATAGTAGCCCCAGCACACGTTGGGCCAGGCAGTTGGGCCAACGTGTACAGGACCACTTGGCATAAATTTGCGATTGGCGGCCAGCGATGGTCTACAACCCGAATGTTGTCGGTATTTCGTGTACAAATCAAACGATTTTTGGGGCTTGCGCGATCTGCCATTTGGTTATTGACAGCTCTGTTGAGTTTAAAATATTTGTTTTCTCATGTACTACTGTTTATAAGTTTTAACGTTGTGATTTTAATATTAATATTTTTGTGGTGTAAAAAGTCTATTTCCGACCTACAATGGCGGTTTGGAATAGTGAAGAAGTTTTACAGTTTATAGTTTTGTACCAAAATGAACCGATAATATGGAATCCTAAACATGGACAACATAAAAATAAGAACAAAGTAAGTAACTTGCTTTTATTTTGGAATATGGTATGGCTGAATTAATGCAATGAAATGAATAACAAAAAAATAATTAGGTATTTAAAAATTAATTTTTAAATCGATCACCAAAAAAATTTTTATTATCTCTGTTATTTATTATTTTAAAATAAATAAATTACTGTTATTTCCTATTTTAGATTAATGATGCTTGGACTCGTCTAGCTGATAACATGCATGTACCTGTAAATTAATTAAAAAAGAAAAAAAGAATCGCTAATGGCTACCTTCAGATTGCTTCATATCATAAAAAGAAAATTCAGGCCATAAAATCTGGCATGGGTGAGGATGAGCTTTAATTAATACCGAGAAGGATCTCTCTTGTCGTTTCCTCATTGCTGAGGATCGTGATTCCCTACAATGCAGGCTGTCAATTCTCTCCATCTCTTGCGATTTTGGGCTGCTCTCATGGACTCGGAAAACGTCTCTCCAGTGGCTTTCTGTACTTGATCTGACCATCGGATAGGTGAGCGTCCTCGGCCTCTACGTCCTTCTACGTTTCCGCACACAATTAGTCTTTCTAAGTTGTCATTGTCTCTTCTCGCAATGTGGCCAAAAAACTTTAAAACATTTGCAAGACACTGAGAGGAGAGTCTGGTCTGAATGTTTAGCTCTTCGAGAATCGACTGATTGGATCTGTGCTCCGTCCACGAGACGCGTAGCATTCGTCTCCAGCACCACATTTCGAATGCGTCAATCCTTTTCCTATCCTCTGATTTTATTGTCCATGTTTCGGCACCGTAACTAAAGATTGAAAAAACGAGTGTCCGTACCAGTCTCATTTTGAGTTTTTTGGACAAAGAGCGGTCCTTCCATATTTTTGACAGTCGACTCATCGCGTTCTTGGCCATTCCTATTCTTCTGCGAATTTCCGTATGGCAGGAGGCTGCATTGCTTAAGGAAGATCCTAGATACGTGAACTCGTCTACTTTCTCGAATTGATTTAGGGCGCCTGTTGTTTGGAGGATATTCGCGTGGTCCACAATCATGATTTTTGTTTTCTGACTATTAATCTTGAACCCACACTTGTTGCTTTCGGTTTCTACTCTCTTTATCAGTCTCGACATCTCCTCTTCAGATGTTGCTATCAGTGTTGTATCGTCTACGAATCTTAAGTTTGAGATCTTTTTCCCTGCAATGGAGATGCCGCCTCTCCATCCATCGAGTGCGTTCCTCATTATGTATTCTCCATATAAATTGAATAGGTCTGGAGATATGCAGCCTTGTCGTACACCTCTGCTGGTTTTGAAGGTATCAGATTGCTGGTTTTCAATTCTTATTTTAACTGAGTTATCTTCGTATGAGTTTTTAATTAATATTGCCAAATGATCTGGAACTCCCATCTCATGAAGAACTGTCCAGAGAACTTCCCACTTTACACAATCAAATGCCTTTTGGTAGTCTAGAAAACAGATTATTATTGGAATTTTAAATTCGCGGGCCTTTTCTATGAGCTGCCGCATATTAAGGATTTGCTCTCTCGTACCCTTCCCTTTGACAAAGCCTGCTTGTTCTTGGGGAATTTGGTTGTCTAAGTACTGTTGCAAACGGCGTTTAATGATTCTTAGTAATATTTTGCTTGGATGGGAAATCAGTGAGATGGTACGATAATTACTACACTTTGTAGTTGTTCCTTTTTTATGGATTGGTATGCACCATGATGTGCGCAATTCTCTGGGCCACTTTCCGCATCTCCAAATTTTATTACAAAGTTTCCACATTATGTAACATCCTTTGTCTCCCATGTTCTGAAGGAGCTCTCCCGTGATATCATCGCAGCCAGGGGATTTATTCTTCTTGAGGTGAGTTACAGCTTCTTCAATCTCGGACAGCAGAATTTCAGGTTCAGGGTTGTATTCAGTGTTTTCGAGGGCTGAAGTGTGGCCTATATTTACGTGTTCTTCCCTGTAGAGCTCTGAACAATAGTTTTTCCATGTTTCCAACACTCTGTCGATATCACTTATGATAATACCATGTTTGTCCTCTATTGCATAGTTCTTGGGTTTAAATTCTCTCGCAAGAATTTTCACTTTCCGGAAGAGGTCTTTGGTTTCATTTCGATATCCGTGATTTTCTATTTCTTGGCAGATTTCAGAGATGTATTCTTGTTTGTCTTTTCGGCATCTTCGTTGAATATCTCTGGAGAGAGCTTTATATGTCTGTTGATCACAGGGGCCAACTTTAAGTTGCTTTCTTTGTTCAATCACTTTTCACGTGTTTCTGCTGATCCATGGTTTAATGCTATTATTTATAGATGGTTGGCGACATTGGTTCATTGTTGTTACGATGGTTTCTTTAATATCTGTCCAGGCTTCATCCACGCTTTGTTCTGACTGATTGTTCCCTATTCTGGTTAGTGCTGGTTCAATTCTCTCTTTAAAGGTAGCTAATTCGGGGTCCGTTAGCCCAAAAGAACGGGGAGAAGCTTTGCGTATGTTCTTGAAACGCATTCTGTAATTTGCCATCAAGAGCTGGTGATCGCTTCCGCATTCTGCTCCTGGAAATGTTTTTGCGTTGGTAATTGAAGACTTCCATCTCGAACTGATCAGAATAAAGTCTATTTGATTTCTTGTTCTCTGTATCTTCTTCTACGGCACTACAGCCCAAAATGAGCCTTGGCCTCCTTTATTTTTTGCCTCCACCCTTGTCTGTCTGTGGCTGCTCTTCTCCATACACGGACTCCTAAAAGTGCTTGTGCGTCGCTGCTTACTGTGTCTTCCCAGCGCTTTCTTGGCTTTCCAACTGGTCTCTTTCCCTGCATTCTGGCGTTCAGTGCTCGTTTTGGTAGCCTATCCTCTCCCATTCGTATCACATGTCCGGCCCATTGCAATCTTTGTATTCTAATGAAGTCTGACAGGGGTGTTTCCTTATACAGTTGATAGAGCTCGTTGTTATATCGAATTCTGAAGATTCCGTTTTCCCTCACAGGTCCTAGTATTCTCCTCAGTACTCTTCTTTCGAATGTGTCGAGTTTGTTTTTGGATGTTTCTTTCAGGACCCATGCTTCGCTGCCATAACATGCTGTATGCGAGGAGGATAATAATGTAAGAAAAACAACATTTTTATTTTACACAAAGTTTATTTACGTACTATTTCTATAAAAATAGTCCATATAATCCAATCGTATGTGTGTGGGGCTCTTCGAGGCAAAGTTAATAATGGTAACAAAGCATTATCTTTATTATTACTCCATACACCTGGCCGAATTATTTCTTCGTTAGCATTATAAGTATTAAAGGAACTGGAGGGTGTATAATTGTCTCGAGAAGTATTACTCTTCCTCAAAAAATTATGTAGATAAATACAAGTCATCGAAACAATGGATGCTTTGATGGGTTCTAGAGGTATATGTCTTTGAAAGATTCTAAATTTGGCAGATAGTATACCAAAAGTATTTTCTACCTTTACCCGAGAACGAGACAATTCTTGGTTAAATATTCTTTCCGGAGGCCCTAGTACGTAATGACCTTCATTATATGTGTACTGAGAACAAATGCGCCATCGCCTAAAAATACATATCCTTATCGCTATTAGGTAGTGGACTAGGAAGGAGTAAATTCAAACTATTAGATAATAGTTTTTGGCAAAAAACACTTTGGTTAAATACTCTACCATCACTTATTCTCCCCTGAGAGCCTACATCGGCAAACATAAAACAGTAATTACTGTCTACTACTGCTAGCAGAACGATGCTGAAAGTTCCTTTATAATAAATACAATATAATATTTATTTTAACAATAATAAAATAATTAAGATAACTATAAACTATTTTTTTCTATTACAGGCCTCACAAACGATACATAATGAGCAAACTAGCACGAATATAGACTTAAATGCTTCTGTACCTGAAACCAGCAGCCAATCCGT